TACAGGGCCTGGAATGTACTAGGTGGTTACTAAATACTTGATAACTAAATGAGTGATGCATTTTCTTCTGAGAGAAAAAATAAATGTTTTTAGAAGAGTCAGCTTTATGCCATGGTTTCAGGGAATGAATTGTGATGAAAAGTGAAGATTGCTTTTACTTGAAAGAGGCTGACAAATTTCCCAGACCTGGGATCACTTTATGCGGCGTATGATTTAAGGGTGAGTGAGCATGCCAAAGCGTTCCACTTGAGCTAAGTGATGGGGAATGAGTTGTGGAGCTGTGGTCTTAGATGGTATTTTGTGAAAAATAGTGGGAGATTTATGGCTATTAAACAACTTTGTAGCTGCTCCCTTCTTGTTTCGAAGGCTGCCAGTTCTCTCTTCCTGTGGTCTGTATCATGTTCCTTCTGTGCATCCATGATGTTCACAAATATCCCCTGGACTGCAGTTTTCATTGCCTGTACCCACTGGGAAGAGCCTTAGATTTTAGATATTTATCTGAAGACATTTGTTTTCTGTAATCGCTGAGTGAAGTCCTCACCCTGCAAGTCTGTCATGGAGTGCACTGTGCTTTCACTGAATCTTTTCCAACAAGGTTGCCAATGTTCTCTCTTCCTGCTTTCATTATGGAAATTGTAGAGTGCAGTATATTAGTGACTATTACTGTGATTGATGGGAATTTAAAAAAATTATTAGCAATTCTCCAATTGTGCATGGGAGAAGAATCAAGAACCCTTCAGTATGCTTTGGCAAATCCTCAGCAAAAGGATTTACAAGGGTGGAATGAATACTTCAAGTCTTGGCATCAGGCAGATATTACCCATTATCAGCTTTTTCCGTTCTATGGGTCACACTCAGTAGCTTTAGAAGAAACAGAAATGAGATATTTTCATCACCAAAATCCAACCAGAGATGGCATTAATCCATGTTATGCAAGTACTAGAGAACCATTAGGAAATTTCCTAGCATTATGAACTTGTATCAGTATAGGATTGCAGGGATCAGAGATGTAAGGAGTGACATTGCTTTTTCAATTTTCATGTTTAATGTCATGAAATTTCCAAAATGTAGAAAAGTTAGAAAACTTATGAATTTATATAGCTGCCATTCAAAATTTGTAGTTTTTAATATTTTGACATTTTACATCATCTGTCCCTTAAATGAAAAAAAACATTGTCATATATAAAATTGAAGGCCCCTCACATTCTGTTAGCCCCAAGTCCTAATACCCTGCTCCATGGTGGAAAGATTTTTTTTTTTTTTTCTGGTACCAGGGATTGAACATGGGACCTTGCGCTTGCAAGGCAGGTGCTGGAACCACTGAGCTAAATCCCCGGCCCGGGGGAAAGATTTTAAAAAAAAAATAAATTTAGGGGATTTCTTTGATAATTTTTACCTGTGTCCATACACATATGAAGTCAAAGAACTATGTTTTTACATGAATAATATTATACTACACTTTTCACTTGGCAACTTGCAATTTTACTCTGTATAAATTTTTAGACCTATTCAAATTGAGATATATAAATCAGGTTTATTGCTCTTAAATGCTAAATATTATTCTGTCATATGAATATATGGCATTTTATATATCCATTTTCCTCATTGACAGACATTTAAGTTATTTCCAGTTTTTTCTGTTATAAATAATGCTGCAATAAACATTGTTTTATGTCTCAACTTGCAGACCAGTGTGAAATTTTCCATAATATATATTTTTTAAATGAAATTGCACCGATTTTCAATTTTATTAGGTGCTGCTAAATTACTCTCCAAGTTAGTTGAACCAATGCATGTTCCCACTGGCAAGGGATGAGAAGGTAACACTTTCATTTCCCTGCATTCGCGCTAGCACTTGCTATTATGAGACTTAACAGTTTGCCAGTATGACGGGTGGAACTATTATACCCTATTTTAATTTGTATAGTCTTTAGTACTATCGAATTTGACCAACTTTTCTTATGTTTCCTGACTTAAAATTTTCTCTTCTTTGAAATTCCTGACATTTCTTTTGTTTATTTTATCTATTAGACTTTCTATTGACTTTGGGACATTATTCATGTATCCTGAATACTAGTATTTTATTGTAGATGTGGCACATGTCTTCTAAGAGGAGATAAAAACAAAATCGAAGGGCCGAGGATTAAGCTCAGTGGTTTCGCCGCCTGCTGCGCAAGCGCAAGGATCCGAGTTCGATCCCCGGTACCAGAAAAATAAATAAATGAAATAAAATCTAAAAATACAAATCCTTGCTGTGGGCAGTTAGGAAAATTGGCAAGGATTTAAAGATTTGAAAAATTTTTATAGTCCTGAAGATTCAGATTTGCCCACATTTCCTTTTTCTCATTTTAGGCATTTCTCCCTAGTCTAGGTAAAAGAAAACATTATGCAAATTTTGCTACAGATGCTTCTGTTATCTCATATTTAAAACACTGTGGGTATACTACTGCTTCAGTTTCAGGGTGACTTCTTTATTCCTTAGCAGACAGTGTGCAAATTTAAGACATCTTGTCCACCTCTTTTACATCATAATTGTGCTTCTCTGAATCATGCTTCTAAGCATAATATTAGAAACAAGATCAAATAGGCTTCTTTTTGATAAAAGCCAAGTCAAAGAGGTGGTACTTGGCATCTCAATTTGTAGTTGTTTTCCTAAACATTAAGCCATACAAGTCCTACCAAAAGGCATAGTTTGTAAAATTGCTCTTTTCCTAGTTCTTTTCCATGATTTGAGTTTATAATGAACACTGAGCAGAAAAGTAATTAAGTTCCTGGGCTTGGAATGATGGCTGCAAGACAACTCAAGCCACATCATTTTGTTTTGCCTACACTTGGAAACAAAACTAGTTCTTTTACTCTTGGTTACAGAACTCTAATGTTTTGCACAATCAGAGGTATTTGCCAAAAGGTAGTGTTTCTTCCAGTAATTTTAGGAAAAGCTGTCATTAAATTATCAGTAGCCCAAATAAAAATTAAAAGTACTAAGGAACACCACAATATAGTATTCTAAATTTTAGGTTCATTTTAAATTTTATTTTTTAAAGAATGAGGTAGAGCAGAAATGTTAGATAAAAGCTGTGGCTTTGTATGGAGAAAAGATGGTAGGTCTATGTAAGGACAGTCCCAGTACACCATCCCACTGTCCTGCTTCAAGCACTGAGGAAGTATTATATTTATTGTGTTTCCCTCATCATGCAGAGGTGATAAAAGATCTTCAATGCCGAGAGAGACAGTGGTGACTATAGTATTTGAATTTTAATCCAATCTTTGGCTCTTCCATATTCTTGCAGCTCCCTAACTATCTAATGATAAATACAAGTCTTATCTACTTTTAAAAACGTTTTTCTTGGTGACTGAGCTTTTATCTTTCTGGAGCCAATACCCTTGGATCAAGTTTTAAATACCACATATTTGCCTTCTATTTGCCTTTGAGCTGGAGTAAAGAATGTTCCCTAAAATCTGTTTCTACCTAGGGACAGAACTTCTGGTTTTGCTCCACTCAGAACTCTTTCTATAAGTCTCCACTGAAAGCTGCTTAATCAAACATCTCAAATGTCAGAAATGAAGTTTAAAGGATTTTTCTAGCTAGTAGGTCTAATCTCCTACTTAGTTTTGATTCCCATATTGTAGGTAATCTCTTTGGAGAACAGCCTGCTTCTAGCAGGGTAAATATATCCCATAGAATGCATTTTCTATTCCGGAAAGAAAAATGTAGCATTAATGAAATTTACTTTTTTATGGAGCCTGGAAAGGTTGTAAGCTTAGGATTTTGATCCTAGCAGATGTTCTTTTTGGATATTAAAAAAAAGTTGCATTTGATTTAGAAATCTCAGTTAAGTATTGCAGTGGTAATTCTTGCTGTAGGCACCCGTGCCCTGAATGTGACTTACTGGCCATTGATACTGTGTTACCACCAATCCCATAGTGCAGTACTTTCTTCCTGCTTTAGCTCACAAAAACATATTGTTCAGGAGGGAGAGGATTAACATCCTGGGCCATACAACACACGGTTCTGTAGTTAAAGAGATGTTTGTGTACAGTAAAACAGCTTCATCCTTTTCTCTTAGGGCCTTGGAATTACAATGTTTTGTTGATAACTGCTATACAAGTTGAGCATCCTTAATCTGAAAATCTCAAGTCCAACATGTCCCAAAATTCAAAACTTCTGAAGTGCCAACATGATGCCACAAGTGGAAAGTTCCATGCCTAACTTCATGTAATGTATTACATTACATGAAAATATTGTATAAAATACTTCAGGCTTGTGTCAAAGGTGTGTATAGGAAACATGAATAAACTTCATGTTCAGACTTGAGTCCCATCCCAAAGTATCTCATTATCTATATACAGATATTCCATAGTCCAAAAAATAAGAAAACCAAAACACTGTGGTTCCAAGCATTTGTATCCCAAATCCAAGTTTCAGATGGATTTCTCAATGCTCCTGTTAACTTAGCCAGAAGTTCAGTTGCACAACTGGTGACAATTTATGTCCTTCTCTTTGGCAATTTCATGCTGCAGAGTCTTGCAGCTTTGACGTCCCTCTGACTCCATGCCACTGTGCCCCTGTAAGCCCTGTTTTTCCTCATCCACCCTAGGGCAGAGCTTAGCCCCTCTGTTTGTTTCCATAGAAATCTGTTCACAGCCTGCATTTGCTTTGTGGGAAATACTGGGAGAGGGCCTGTGATGGAAACCCTAAAGTCTACACCATTTCCTACTTTCCCTCTCTCTTTTCCCTTCTCCATCTTCTTTCAGCTCATTACAAAAGCAAAACATCTCCATGTCTCAGAGCCATTCCCCTGTGCTGAGACCCCTCAAAGTTCTGTGCCCTCCCCTGTGCTTACCAGAAGTCTATTCCCACAAAGATAGCTCTGGCTTCCTAAGAAGAGTCTCTGTGGATAATGTTTCCTCCAGACTCAGATCCCAGGGAGACATTTTTAATAAACAAGGGTATTTAGCATTTGGTGTTGCTTTCACTGACATTTGCTTTTATCACGCAGCCTTCCAGTGGGGACGTTGCTGCCTCTCCAGAGCACCACTACACACCCCTGCCTTCTGCTTCTAGAGAACTCACCAGTCACCGAGGTGAGAATTCAGCTTTTTATCATTCTCAGTGATCGTGGGAGGGATACTCGGCCATGCAGAGCTCTGGGCTCCTTACTGCTAGCTGGGCACTTTAGAAGGAACATGGAGCTTTTTAAGTCCTCGATGAGAAAACCATACCTGTCAAACCTACTGATTTTCACCCATATTAACCAGAATTTAGTAGCAGTCTAATGGGAGGCCTATAAATCCACTGTATAATTTTTAATTTTTTACTTAAAAAAGGAGTTATAGTGCTTAAAAATTACTAAGGAGATCATTCCTTCCAGCAATAGTAATGGAAAGAAATTGGGAAACTCACTAATATTCATAAAAAATACGGTTGTTTGGGAATATAATAGCTGAAATCTGTAATTTCAAAATGAATGAACTCTGTGTAACAGCTCAAAGGAATTTCAGTTTGTTGGCAACATTAGAATTTGTGTGTAGTTTGCTGAATTCTCTGATCCTCAAAACGTTAATTTCGTTTACCCAGTTCTTCCAAATCCTGAATTCCTGTTTCTGTCACTACAGTCTTCAGCTTCAAAACCAGGCAGAATACGCACAAGAAATATCATTTGAAAATACCTTATCCCTAGCTGCCTGGTTGGGCAAGGTCTATGTAATTGCCTGAGTTGGAATTGTCAGGATCAAGAACAGGTCTGGTGCTGGAAGTTGTTTACCCCATTTTATCCTGGTTATATTTGGAACTGTGTGACTCTTCCAAGGTTAAGTAAGAACAGCTTTAGATTGAGGGCATCACAGATTTTAAATATTGTTTCCTTCAGAAGAAAGTTCCCTTTGTCCACAAGGGGACACTGAATAAGGACTGCCCTAGTCATCCCAGCTACATTGCATGGATGGCTAGGAGCAAAGGCTGAAGAGGTCCTCAGAAAATGGTGGAACTGGACCTCAGAGATGACTTACAGGCTTTGTGCAGTGGGACATAAAGATGAGGGAGAGTAACGCAAGATTCCAGGTATCTGTGATGGAACTTGTGATGCCCATTTGATATCTGGGTATCAATGGAACTTTACTACATTTAAACATTCTTTAATGTAATTATGATTGTCATCTCTTCGTCTTGGATTGTTCCCTTTACAAGTATGTAGTATCCTTCTTTGTCTCTCTTAATTAGTTTTGGTTTGAAATATACTTTGTTTTCAAATAAGATAGCTACCCCTGCTTTTTTCTGGGTTCCTGTTGCATGGAGAACTGTTTTCCATCCTTTTACTTTCAGCCTATGGGTTTCTTTTTGAACTAGGTGCATTTCTTGTATACAGCATATTGTTGGGTTTTGCTTCTTAATCCATTCTGCCAGTCTATTTTTTTTTGATTGGTGAATTGAGGCCATTAACATTGATCGTTATAACTGATATGTATTGACTTATCATTGTCATGTTATTTTCCTGTTGTTGGCTCTTTTTAATTTTTTTTCCCCTCTCCTTTTAATTTCTTGCCTTGCCTAATGAATTGGCTCTGTTGGGCCTCATGGAGCTGTGACCTTCATTATCTTTTTCTAGGATATTGTTTAGAATTGTTTGGAGTGCTGGTTTGGTATTCATGAAGTTTCTCAGGTGTTCTTTGTCATGGAAGTATCTTATTTCTCCATCAATTTTGAAAGATAGTTTTGCAGGATACATCAGTCTAGGCTGGAGGTTGTTTTCTTGTAGGGCTTGAAATACCTCACTCCAGGCTCTCCTTGACTTCAGGGTTTGTGTTGAAAAGTCTGCTGTGATTCTGATGGGCTTTCCTTTGCATGTGATTTGTTTCTTTTCTCTAACTGCTTATAGTATTTTGTTCTTCTGTTGGGTTTCTGGGATCTTGATTATTATGTGTCTAGGTGAAGATTTTCTTTTTCCCATTAAGTTTACTGGTACATTTTAGGTATAAAATACAGTTGCATTCCTCATTGGGATCTTGTACCATTACATGAGTCTCTTGGTTCTTATTTTTTTTCCCCTTCCCTTGCCTTCTCTTCACCCCCTCCACCCTTCCCTACTT